ATAGTTGTAAATAGTAATTGTATTATTGTTTGTGCTTTAATAATATGTAAAATGTAACAAAGAAATATCCTATACTTGTACAGGTTAAATTAAATTTATACATTTGGCAACCTGATAACGGAGACTTGGGGAAAAATTCCCTTTTTTGCTCTTTGATTTGTATATAAAAGGAGCTAATTTGGGGCCGTAAGTAATTTTTCTTTTTGTTTTTCTCTCCCCCCTAAAATGAGCGATGTTGGCATAGAAGGAAAAAGTAATAGAACGCATAGTAGAGCTAATCTACCTTGTCCTGATTGTGATCGTCCAAGGATATCATATGGATGGTGTAGGAAATGTGAATCAAGATGCATGGAAAAAAACTTTCCTTTCTGGACAAGTGGAAACAGTGAATTAGATAAATTAATTCAACGTAGTCAGATTTCAGCAGTACAAACTTGTGATTATTTGGAATTTATAAAATTTGAAGACATAGAAATTAGTAAATTAATTGGCAGAGGAGGTTTTAGTAAAGTATATAAAGGTGTTTGGATAGATGGACCGAGATGGAATTGGGATGAACTTGGGGACATTTGGTGTCGTAGCGGGCCAATAGAAGTTGCTCTAAAAGAACTAGATAATTCTCAAATATTATCATATGAATTCCTTGATCAGGTATTTTATGAATAAATTAGAATTTTGGTCCAAATTGGTCCTAATTAAATTGTGAATTTTTTACAATGATCTCTTTATAAGCTATTAATAAAGTTGTATAAAATAAAATTCTTAACATGTTTGCTTAATAAATAAAAATGATAAAGCTTCAAAATTCAGCCATATTTCAAATATAAATTTTAGGACCGGTCCTAGGGCCAGGTTCTAAACTTTTATATTTTGAAGATTTCTAATTTTTGAAGTTTTATCAGGTTAAGAATTTTATTTTGTACAACTTTTATTAATATTTCATAAAGAAAATCATCGTAAAACTCAAATTTTAATTAGGACCAGTTGGGACCAGTTCGGACCAAAAACATCCCTAGAATTTGATCGATATTTATTTAAATACATAAATATTTTTTATTTATTTTATTTCACAATCGATCTTTCAGCTCAAAAAATATTATCAATGCTTGCAAAATGGGACAATGGCAGACTGTTTTGGAATTACAAGAAATAATGAAACTGGCTGTTATATGTTCGTTATGCGATATTATGAAAATGGTAACCTTTACGAATTTCTTGATAGAAATAAAGGAATTATTAGTTGGAGAGATATGGTGGATATGTTATGGGGAATTGCGAGTGGACTGGAAAAAATACATTCAGAAAACCTATTTCATTCGAATCTTCATGGAGGAAACCTTTTGATCGAAGATGAAACCATTTCAACGGATGCAAAAATTGCCGACATTGGACTTCATGGAAAAGCCGATAAGTCAATTCACCCTGGACATGTTATTGGAGTTTTACCTTTCATTGATCCGCAAGTATTACTTGGAAATCAACAACCAAATAAAGCATCCGATATTTATAGTTTTGGAATAATAATGTGGGTTTTGGCAACTGGGCTTAAACCACATCACAATAGAGCCCATGATTTAAAACTTGCCTATGAAATTTGTTACAAGAACTTACGCCCGGAGATAGGTGAAGACCTTAGATCTGAAATGCCAGCAGAGTATCATGACCTGATGACTCAATGTTGGGACTCATTACCAGAAAATCGACCGACAGCAAGTAAATTAAATGAAACATTGGGTAATTGGATTTCTGACATTTGTGATAACCCAAATCCTTCAGAAATTTCAAATAGTTTTGGCGATGCAGAAGAGAAAAGGTGGGAACTCATCGGTAAACAAAACGAAGAAAAAAATTTTCCATCCAATTTTGTTCACGAGGAGGCTATTTACACTAGTTGTATCTTTGACTTTTCTAAATTAAGACAATTAATTAATCAGCATATTTAGAATTCTGTGGAGCAAGATAGTAGTTTAACTAATATTTTATATAATTATGCTGGAATATCGATATTGGTTTAATCGGCCTCCAAAAAAATTATCGATGATGTTTTATCCGATTAACGTGTTTAACCCATATAGAATACTTGAGACAAATGACAACTTAATTTTAAAAAGTAAAATTAAATTTGGCATTAGGATCGTGATTATAGACTTCATTATATTTTTCCTTTATAAGCTATTAGTCAAACTTCACCTATTTTCATAGTAAGTTATTTATAGGGGATGAGCTGATAGATATTTCCACTGTAGATTTTGTAATTTAAATTCTATTAATAGTGAGAGGACCGATTAGTATCTTTTATTCCATATTTATATATATTTCATTTATTTTCAATTATCTAGATTAAGAATGATAGATATTATGCAATAACCTTATGTATGGTAGATATATTAAATTATCCGTATCGGTCGAAAAAACTTAGAAAATGTGATATTATGTAAGATCTGTTACAGTCCTTAACAGTGCATATAAAATTTTATATGTACATATGTCCATGTCCAAACGAAATTTTTATTGGACATAGTCCAAATGCCAACACTGGTCCTTAAATGTTATTTAAAAAATGTTAGATCTGATAGGTCCGCCATTATCGGCTGCTTAAGGGTAGGGTGTACAAATTTCCAATTTCATATAAAATAGATTGTACATCAACTTTGTGTATATGATATCATATG